TGTGCAAAGGCACAGCAATACAATACTTGGAGCTTCCCAGATAAAAGACTCTTTCCGACTCTACCACAAACTCCCTAACTATACTTAACAGCTAATACTCATTCATATAAAGGTAATTCAGGCAGCTGGAGAAGTGCACAAGATGATCGAATCCCTCATTCTTCCTACAGAATTCTCTTCATTTAGACCTACTCTTTGTGCAAGAAAATAGCTGTATTCAGCTGAGAATTCTGGACGAAGGGCAAGACCTCGAGCTATATCACCATAGACCACACGGGTAAATGATCAGAAGAATATAAGAAATAAGACACATTGGAAAAAAAGTCATTAAAATGAGCCTTTTGTTCACTGACCCACGAACAAGCCACCACAGGTATTGCTGGCAGTGACTTTTTTTTTTTTTTTTTTACAAGAAACTCTTCCTCTACAAATTCTTTGAAAACTGCAGATTCCTTTGCTGTCTGATATAGTGATATGGTGTGTTGCTCTTAACACTCATTTTGGTCCCTGGCAACTGCTTATGTAACTAACCAGTTCAGTAGCAACTGCAGACTCTGCCACTGAATATATTCTAATCAGCTTTTGTAAGTGTTTGAGCTTAAAACTCGCTCAAGTATACATTAATAAATTGTTATCAGTCCAGTCCCCTTTGAAAGCAAATGCAAATGTTCTTTTGAGCACAGCTGTACTCCCAGAGACCTACTGACAAAGAAGCTGCTGCCTGCCATACAGGTGAAAGAACATGAGCTGAAATTACAGTAATTTCTATAATAGCTAAAATACAATTAATACATCCAATGTCCAGAGAAGGCCACGAAACGTTCCCCACTTACCTTCTGTGTGAAAAGTAAATTACAGTATTTCAAAGTGCTACCCAGAAACTGCACACAGCAGCCATGCACAGGAGGAGAGCAAGATCTGGAACCACGTCAGCCCACAGAGAAGTCTGGGTTTTTCTGCAATTTATGGAATGATGACAGTATTCAAGGGCAGCACCTATCCAATTTGTAGTATGCCCCCTCAGCCTCCTCATTTGGGGCAGGGTAGGGGACAGGAAGGTTCTATATCTTTGGAACATTTTCAACACATTGAAAACTGGCATATAGGGAAAAAAAGATACAGGAGCATGGCAGAGGCAGAGAGAATACAAGGAAAGTCTAGTCCAACAAGGAAGCTGAAGATTCCTCATGGAAAAAGGCCTATTTGAGCCTCAGGAAGTGAAAAAGAAAAGCATGAGCATAGCTGCTCCCATTGTGGCTATAGCTAAGTGATTAAGCAACTACCCTCTTCTTTACTGCCTTTGTCAAACAGTCCATTTCAGCTCCCCAGGTAAACACCAGAAAGGTCTGAGAGAAGATCAGCTGTATCCTGATATGTTTTATTCAAGTTTGCTAGGCAGAGTTTACTGCAGTATTTCTGTTTTTGTTCTTCCTAGTGACAGTGCTTTGCAATTATTTTTTCTACAACAACTAGCAGTAATTTAGCAGTAGCTTTCTTGATTGGAACCATAGGCAACACAGACTTCCTATGATAAATTTGCAGATGCAGTGACTAAGACCTTCATTGTACTTTTTTTTTATTTTGCAAAAAATTGATTATCATTGTAAGAAAAAGCCATTATTACAAGACCAATGGCTTGTTGGGTTGACTTCTCAGCAATTATGAATATGATAACATCCAAGAGAATTTCCATCTAGGAAGCTCCAAAGCAACGCTTTCCTACTGCTTCCTACTCCTTTAAAGATCATAGGATCATAGAATCATAGAATGGTTTGGGTTGTAAGGGACCTTAAAGATCATCTAGTTCTAAGCCCCATGCCATGGGCAGGGACACCTCCCCTTAGATCAGGTTGCACACAGCCCCATCCAACTTGGTCTTGAACACCTTCAGTGACAGAGCATCTACAACTTAAGATGGCACGCACTGACCAGTCACATTTACATACAGAAATGTATGTGACATATATACACAGGCAGATATGTGTATTTTTTCTCAAGGTGTCTATTGATAGTATGCAAAATGAGGATTTAAAGATTTGATGCCAACAGCTCAGAGTTTTTTGAAGAGCTTTCATAAACTATGAAGTGGTAATTGAGGTTCTTTTATCACTTCTACTGGGCCCCACCGAGCAAAAATGCATTTACAAACCACTCTAACCTAACCAGGGTTTTAGCAGATGTGAACCAATGCATTCACTAAGTGACCTGGCAAAGGAGCAGAGATGGGAAAAGCCTTCATTAAAAAGAAAACATACTCTTCTATGGCTTTCTGCAGTGAAAAAGCAGTATTAACAACATGGCTCTAACAAGAAAAAAACTGAAAGATAATCACTCTGGTCTGCAGGAAATGGCATTTACATTTCATACAAGAAATACAGTCTTAAAAATCTGTCTGATTTAAATGTCTGTCACCATGTGTCCATGCATCACCATTACTCACAGATGCCACTTAACTCATCAGGCAACTCAGACAAGTCTGAGTAACTTTTATATTCCTTTTGCTGAAATTAAATTGTTAAGACTCTCAAATTCTTAACAGTCTCAAATTTCAGTGCTACTATTAAAAAACCTAATTTTAAAGAAATACAATTCCTGTTATTTTCCTGTAATAGTTTCAAAGTGTCCTTTTTGTTCTGGCAGAGTCATTAACATCCTATAAACTTTCATTATTATAGAAAAATAGGTTTATGAATATGTGACAAGATTAAGAGGAACAAAGGCTAAGACATAAGTACATATGATTATTTATTACTTGTAATGCCATAGTGCCTATGAGGTCTAATCACAGACCAGGACCTCCTGGACAATTAGAATAAAATGATTAATTTAAGGAAAGTGTTGTGGAGGACCACCTTATATTATCACAGTGGAATCAATCTTTACAAAAACTCTCCAACTCCAGAACTGGGGCTTGGTAGAAACACCTGTTGGGAAAAATTTTTGGGTAAAATTCTCAGTCATAAAGATGAATGAAAGACAGTAACACCATTCAGAAAGTAAGGTTTCCAAAGGAATCTCATTTGCAAGAGTAAACCTTTCCTTTCTGGAGTCCAGACAGCACAGGTAGCTAAGACCAAATAATTGAAAAACACCAATAATGCTGAGATGCATCATCAGCGCAGAAGAAGATAGGAACATCATATAGAAAGAACTAGCTGACTTGAGCTACAGAAGCTATATGTACTTCAGGAGTACAAAAATAATACAAGGAGCAATTGAAATTGTAGTTCTAAGCTAGGAGTTATCAGCTAGAAATGAACAGGGAGGCTGCAATCATAACAGCTCATAGAATGATTATGAACTGCCAGCACAGTGCAACCATGAAAAAGACAAATAGGATCCTGGGTTGTATGCAGAGAAAAGCCCCTGCAGAAACAGACATGTATGAATGCTACCACAGTGAGGAATGTTCACAGGAATACCGTCTGTGACTCTGGCCATCCAAGTGAAAAACAGCTTATTTCTTCCTGGAGCTGACAGAGATAAGGTACCCTGACAACCTCCACATTCTGTCTACTTTCCCATTTTGCAAGAGGAGATGTCTTGGTTTACTTAACCTAGTAGATCAAAGGATGTAGTCCGTAAATAAATCAGACTGTTAAGAATAAAAAGAGGATCCTCTAAGCTATAATACACTGTTGTCACAAGAACAAACGGGCATTAATTGTCCAGCAATAAATGCAGGCAGAAATTCTAAAGAATGTTCCTAATGGAAGAAATAATATTCTGTAAACAGCCTTCAGATCAAAGCAGTAGGTGGATGAAAACATTGCCCAGCCTTGAAATAGAAACAGGTATTGACATTAAATGGGATGAAATAAGATGCATGCCTGCAAATCACAGAGGACCACGCACAGTGACCTTCTCCCTTCCACTCTGGTGGCCCTATGTGATGTTTTCCCAGCCTATATCTATCACGTACATTGAGATATCCATAAGAAACAACAATAAACCTGGAATGTGAAAGTACATTAGGTATTGAAATACCTTTCAAGTTATTTTTTTTTTCTTAAAAGTAACCTTTAAAGTATCATCTATAAATATACAACTATATTGAAGTCATATCACTATAAGTACAAGATAGGAATAAGAGAAAAGGCTGAATAATTCCAGGTGGTGCCATGACAAACAGTGGTTGTTCACTGCTTCTTTTGATGGAAGAGCCTCTAGACATCTTCTGAAAAACAGCCTGTTCAAAAAAAAGAACACCCCAGACACCACCTTCCCCTCACTGACACACCGAAGCTCCACAAAAATGCCTGGCAACCAGAGGACTGGTTCTTCACATGACAGGAGGTCAAGCTGCTATGAGATGTAGTAGATGCTAAAACTTTACAGGATTAAAAAGAGGAACAATAGAAAAGTTGCCATTCTATTAATATATTGACCTATTAAATGCAAGAAACCTCTTCTAGACCAGAGGTCCCCAGAAACTGCTAATTTCTGGAAGCTGAGAGCTGTCAGCAGTAGCTCATCTCATTCTTACCCTCCTCCCAAGGCATTCACTCTCACCACTGCTGGAGGCAGGACACTGGCTTAATTAACTACTGCTCACATGCAGCACTGCTGTTCTTGCATGACATTCAACCATCCGAGTACACTCCAGGCTCATTTACCCCATATTAGTGGAGATTTCAGACTGGTTTGAGGCTCACGCAGCAGCAGGTTTTGAGTTCCTGTTCTGAAGACCTGAGGTATTATGGTTCTTGCATGCTTACTGTATACCTTACTCACTCCCACAGGTTTTCTTCTGAAAATGAAAAGTTGTCTTCTGGTTTAAGAATCATTACATTCCTTCCCATAAAACCAGCTTAAACCTTGCTCTAATTGCCTGTTGTGCCTTTTTAGAATTCCAAAAAAAAAAAAAAGGAAAAAAACCCACACAACAAAAACACCACACCACCACCAACAACAAAAAAAAGCTATATAGAATTGACTGAAGAGTGAAAAAACAAAAGCCAGCAAAACCCAAGGAGACACCACAGCCATGCCAAACTCACCACATTTCATCATGCCCACTTCGTAACACTTCCGCAGCCGGCACGCCTGGCAGCTCTTGCGCCTGTTCTTATCTATTGTGCACTGATTGGTGGCGGGGCAGATGTACTCATTGTGTCCTGCAGCAGAGTAAGGAGAGGAAATGGAACATCTTTGACAGTCTTTCTTGGTCATTTCCCAAATCAGGACCTTCTTGATTTTAAGTATCTCAGCTTTTTCATGTGCATATTATCTAAGCTCCATTAATTTAACTGATGCAAAATTGCATATTTATCCTATACTGGAAACGTCAATTTGTGTCCTCAAAAAAAAACAGACAACATAGACCAGCTTTTACTGGTGACTTTCAGTTAGATAACTAAGCACCTTCTAATACCAACTCATTTTTTGAATGGTTCATATGCTCTTGTGGAAATTTGCTCCCAACCTCTAACTTCTTATTGTATATTTGGACTCTACAGACAGCAGATAGTAGATTTTTCTTTTTCCTTGGCAGATTTGGAAACAACCAGTGCACAGTTTCAGTCCTGCAAAAATTTAAGTAAACTACAGCTCTATTCACTGAACTTTCTAATGTGGTGAGTTCCAGGAATGAAGAAACCTTTGGAGGACTGACCCTGGACCAAAATTAATTAAAAAAAAAATAAAAATCAGCCTAAGAGAGAAAGAAGACTGACTAACTATAAAATAATGCATACTGCATAGAACAAAGAAAACCACAAGCAGAAGGTACAACATTTAGGTATTCTGGGCAAATATTTATCTTATTTTTATCAGTTTCCACTACAGCCTTTTCTGTTCTCTCCTCCTCCTCTCGCACCTCACCTCACCCCCACTCAAATCCCTTTACATAATCATAGTTCATTAATCAATAATCTGGTCCAAAGGTTTATTACTGTAAACTGGACTTGAGTATGCTCTTGGTGTAAATACAGTCAAATCATGTCCTGCCAAATCCTGAACATCTCTCTTGCAGTAGTTACAAAAGGATGCAAAAAATATTCACTCATTTACATTTCTTAGTGTCTTTTCTCTCAGGTTGTTTTTAAGTTTTTGTTTTTTTTTTTTTTTAGAACTTTAAGATTTGATCAGGCAAAAATACAGCTACTGCAGTTTTTTTTTACTTGATGTAGAGTCCAAGAGTTCATGTCCCCAGGATAATTATTTAACCAAACCATTGTGACTATTTCCTTGCAAAATTAAAATAATTTTAACCTTGAATTTTTGAACAGACAATTTTGAATATGAGAGATCAGGTTACAGTTTGTCCTGTTTCCTACTGGCAGATATGACTGAAAAACAAATTACTGTTTATCACTCTTCACACAACATGGGAGGAAAGGAGGAGGAAGCTCTCTATTGCACTATAACCCAAGCACACAGAAGTATAAAGTGGTTTAAAACTTGTGTGGCCTTGGGATAATTTGGCTTGCAGGCAGATGTTCAGAGATGTACAACAAACACACTACCCTACAAACTCGTACAAGCAGAGAAGACCACACACAGTTGCTCAGTCATAGCATCTAATTTTAATTAGATGTCAGCCCAATGCTTTGGTCTATGGTAGGCCCAGAAGCTTTTTATTTTTATAAGCAATATCCTTCATAACAACATTTGCAACTGTGTGCTTGACAGAGTTTGATGCCAAAACTTACTTTCATTTATTTGAATTACAAACCAACGCTACCTGACAGGGTCCATTAAGGTGTACAAAATGCCACAATGAGTAACTTGTTCACAGCCAAAGCACATGTGAGCAACACAGACCAGGTGAATAATTTTCCTGACAGAAAACACTTTGAGATCAAATTCAGTCCCCATTTGCAACAAACTGGAGACAAAGTTCTCTTCAGTTATTTTAGAAAAGTACTTGCATCCATTTACAGAAATTTATTCACCCAGGCAGAACTTTCACAGTAGATTGAAAAGGCAAACAAGTTTTGAATTAAATTTGATTCTACTGGTGACACCAACTTTGCCATATTGATCCAAAAGAAAATACTCATGATTGCTAAAGGCTTTGTGTGCAGAAGAGGAAGGAACACTATGGACCAAAAAAATGTCAGGACTTTCTGTGCTAGTATCCACATGCAGTGTCCAATGTCAAACCAATTAAGCTTCCATCAAGAGGCCCCAGGTGAGGCCAAAGAACATGGAAACTAAAACTGAAGTTAAACAGATTAAGTGGTCCAAAGCTGCAATATGGTGCATAAGTCCCTGCCTATAGGCTGTGATAACAAACATGGGGACTACACTTACTTCATACTGCAGCCACTCCGCACAGCTGAACTAAATACCAAACATTTAAGAACGTAAACACCGAACTGGAAACCTTAGTTAGAGAGATCCAGCAAAGTAAGAGATACTGCAGTGTAGGTTCTGAGGGATGGAGGGCTGGGAAATAACAATAATCTGGTTTGTACCTAATACTTGCTACACTTATTTTTATATCCTACATACTGTGTAGATATTACATGCTATGATTCAATAGCTCCAGGCAATATACTCTTGTCAAGAATAGCTCCCGGCAAGCAAAATTACTAGACAATTGCCTACTTTAACTGTGACTTTTATAAAAAATTCACAATTACAATGCCTACTTTGGGACACAAACTGCAATCAGACTCACAGATCTGCAGTGCCATCCCACCGAGGCCTTTGCTGCAGTGCCTTCCTGTTCTCTGTATCTCTAAAGAAATCAATTGCTCACCTTGTAATGTTTCCAGATCTTGATAACATAAGAGCCAAAAGTTAAAGCAGTCAAATCACGTGTTGCTCTATTTTCAGCATGCACCACCATACAGCAGGATGTTAGATCAACTCATTACTACATCAACCACTGCTGCCCCTGATCATATGAAAAAAACTTATCTGAGCAAAGTTATCACAAGCTGATTCTCGTACCTTGAATACTTCTTTTAAAGAATGCTTTGCAGCCTTCACATGACCAGACCCCATAGTGGTATCCTGAAGCATAGTCACTGCAGACTGCACAGAAGTGGGCATCCCTTTTTGAGCCAGGATTATTTGCAATTGGGCTTGTACAGTCACTGCCATTAGTTTTTCTTTTTAATGGTTCTCTGATAAAAAAGAAAAAACATCCATTACAAAAGAGGAAAAAAATAATCTACATTGCAGAGAGTTTAATCATTTTCCATTGTCTTCTCTTATTTTCTCTCTATAGACTGAATACGGGATAGTGTGAAACACTGTTAAGCTTTTTTCTGATGAGGTTATTTAAAGCATATAGTCTGATCTGAGAACTTTCAATGATGACAGACTATAAAGTTTTTAAAAACTTCCAGAGTTTAAAAACTTTTAAAACTTCCAGTTTTAAAAACTGGACTGCTGATGTGTCACCCACATGAACTTTGGGAAAATCATATGGGATGCTGACGTATCTTGAAGAATTCTTGGAAATTCTTGGTAGAAGTCCAGGAATGTGTGAACCAAGTGGACTTTGCCTTTGGGAAGCTTCACATAGAAAATGCAAACTCAGAGAGCTTGGACCGACGTCATAAACACTACCACAAACAAAGCTGCAATTACTTCATGCTGTTAGCAAGGCAAAATTCTAGATGGAGCAATACACATCTAGTCTCAAGCATTTTATCCTTTAAACAAAGCTTTATTCATTCAATAAGATGCTGGAGACAAATATCTGGAGCTGTGAATCAACTCACAATGTTAGAAAAAGTTTTCTGTTCAAGGTAACAACCATTGATCAACCTAATGCTAAATAAAAAGAAGCCTGAATCCAAGAAGAGTGGAGAATCCATTAATAAAAATGCTTGCATGCATTTTAAAAAGTATTGCCCCATTCAAATTAGTAAGATATATGCATTCCTGAAACACTGCAAATAGTTCCAACTAACAGAAACTATTCTTCGTGATGGGATTAAAATTAAACCAAGATAAAACCATGAAATAACAGCCAATTCTGACAACAAGTTCCTGTAAACAAAGAGTAAGAGGAAAAGAACTTAGATTATCAGTCAAGTGAGTTTTGGGTATAGGAAGCACATCCACTGTGTGCTTTTTCTCTGGTTCTCATTTTCTTGGTGGTTTTAGCATGTCTTACCTTCATGGTCAACACAATTTCTAGACAGAGAGAATATAGTGTCACGTGCAAAATCTCAGCAGCAGTTTGACAGAAGGAAGGCTGTAGAGTCAACTCCTAGGTATAAACTTCAGCATAGAGGCCGAAGTTAGAAACTGTAGAATTATCCTCCTCTCACCATCAAGAGGATTAGGAAGGAGAAGAAATATCAGCTGAGATAAGACAGTAGGTAGCACTATTTACAATTTCTAAAGAACAAGGATACATTGCCAGGGCAGAAGAAATGTGTACAACAAGAGCAAGTTCAAACAGAACAGTAAAAACATGCTAAAAGTGCTATCAAAAAGGCTTTAAATAACCTATTAAAAGTAGACTTTGTGCTTGTTCAATTACAAGAGGTAAGGACAAACACACCTACGTGACAACTAAAAATCATTGTTTATAAGTATTTGAGGAGACTGCGCTCCAACTCCCTAGCAGAAAATTTGAAAAGAAAAAAGGTGGTTCTTTGAGCAAATTCCAAAGCAGAAGAATTAATGTATTTGTTGGACAATTTCATCACCACAAGCTTTTTTAAATTGTTAATTCATTCAGATACTGCAAGGCATAAGGGTGTTTAGATGTTTTAACAAGCCTGGTCTTTGATTACACACAAGCCACTGCTAGTGGTTGCTGGATCACCACATTACTTCTCCTTCTGCCATGCTGGGAAGACCTGTGTGGGGAACTCTCCCTTAGAATAAAGGCACTGTATCACACACATCTAATATTCTGCTAACACAAGGACCAAAAACCATTGCTATCCCTTCCTGTTTCCCTGTATTTGGTAGGAAAAGTAATTTGGCGTTTCACATTAGTAGAAGAGGTGTATTTTTAAGCTCTACCTGGGAATTACAACCCAATTGTGAAAGTCAAAAGAGAATCAAAATCAGCTAGAGAGCATCTCAGTGACCGATGGATACACTGTAGAAAGCAATGTTTATTGCCCTCAGTAAAGCACCGGGATGCTATGGATGGGAAAAAAAAAACCAAAGAAAAAGCACACACCATAACATCTCATTGAGGAGTGTTGTTTTTTTACCTTCCAGTCATGACAAGTGTTTTTAAAAACACTTTTTTTTTCCCTGCTTAAAAATTTAACAACAGTGACCCTGAAGACACACGAGCTGCGTGACTTCCGCAGACTGTGGCAAACAGCTTGCACACAGAGCAACAATCTGGAGCAAATTCCTCCTGCAGGCATCAAATCTGCTCATCTCTGACAGCTGCAGCAGTGCAGCAGGAGATTCAAGCCCAATCATTTTATTACTGTTGTCTTTAAGGACAACAGAACTAGGAAACAGTGGAGAGCTGTAAGGTGAACACTCCTCACCCCGAGAGCCTTGAGATCAGACAACGTATCCACACAAAGAGCAAACGGGAGCAGGTAGCCCCACGTGGGGTTAGAGACCACCCCCCAGCACTCTTGCGACTCGTGCAGTCCAGCTTGCTCAGCAGCTGAATGAGCTGCCAGGTCCTCCAGAAGAACTGGCAGGAGCTGGCTGGATAACCACAAAGCTCCTCCACCAAAGGGTGAAAGACAATGGAGGATGTACCCTGGCTGCTACTGAGGAACCACATGGGCAAAGACTTACTGCTTTACACCCCCTAATACACCTCCATTTTATGATCAGGATTTCTATATATGTTTCCATACCAAGAGCTAAGAATTTTTTGGAAAGTAACAAGTCAGTGACTTCCTAGTCATCACCACTGACAAGAAATTCACGCTACATAAGGAATTAGCAAGACTACTTAGGTTACTCAATATCTGTCTTGCCTGCTAGTTAACTCTAGCTTTGCCAGAGTAAGTGTTTGATGCTTATGCCACATGTGGAAAACTTGAATCTAAATTTAACTCTTTATCATAAATTAAGAAGGGGAGCAAAGATTTGACCTAGAAAGTAGCAAGATTAGCTCATGGCATTTGTTATCTGTCAGGTTTTTTTAAAAAACCTAAACTACTATACATTATAAAAAGAGAAAATAAACAAACAAAACACCACCACCAAAAAAAAAAAAAAAACACACCAAACAACTGAGAAAAGTTTAAAAATCCATTGAGTCAAAAATTAATAGTCTGAATTTTGTAGTTTCTTATAACTCCTCCATGCTTCCCATAGGCCACTGGCTTATTCAGTGCCTGAGAAATAATTCATTTCCATATGAGCCTAGGCTATAGGATGAAGAAAGCTCTTCCATTTTCTCCCAGAATGTGTGCAAGATGATGGGCAAAAATCAGCTGAAGAATACTTTTCAGTTTCCATCTTCCTGATATTCTAGAGGCTCCCTCCAGTATAACTTCTGGAATAGTTAATACCGCACAACTATCAATATTTATATCTCCAAAGCACAAGTTCTGTTATGCTCCAAACATTGATTAATATGCTGAGAATCATGTCATAGATGCCTCAAAATTAAGACACATTTTTGCTTAATCTCTGTAATTATTCCAACATAAAATGGAGATACCAAGCCATCACCTCAAAGAGGCTTCAAGATAGGCTTAAGTGGACTGCAGAATGAGCACAATAAAAAAGGCATAGGAGAATAATGCAAATAATTATGGCTTTGGAACAGAGTTTAAGCAACATATAAAATATGATATTAGTGTACACTGAACAAGATCAAGTTACTCAATAATTTCTAATAAAGCAAGCACTGCTAGCTCGTGGACCCAAACCCCTTTACTTTAACCCTCTAGCTGCAATTAGACAGAAGCAAAAGGAAAATAATAGAAATGAACAAATTACATTCTGGAAACATCACTCTAGCAACTTCATTGAAGTTTCCTAATACTTTTAGCAAAGTAATATATCTGTCCATTTTGGAAATAAACCTTTTGGTTCTGTAATTAACATCCTTTTATTTAGGGGATGAAGACAGAAAAAAATTTCAGACTACTTTCAGATATAATTACACTGTCACATTCCTTTTCTCTTCATGTCATTATAATATAAATTGAGTGATCCTATTACCACAAAATTTATAAGAATGTTTCTGTTGTCTTCACTAGGTACAGGACCTATAACACAAATGCATCTAGTGGAGTCTATCACCAAATTACTGCCATTTTGTAAAAAAACAAAACAAAACAAAACAAAAAACTCTAAACATTCACATCTCTTTTTAGATGGAATGCAATTAATTTTTGCCGATCTGTTGGTGCAAAGTAACACAACACTGCATAACATTTGCATTTAATAAAGTTAAACAAATTTCTTCTGTATTCATGCAATGCACCTATTTGGGATGAAAGGGAACACTGAGAATTCTATTTCCTTATTTTAAGTTGATATACAAGCAGATACAAATTACACAGTGATCAGCTTTAGCAAAATGGGCCACACTAGATTAGCTACATTTAATGGAAATTTAAATCCAGGGATAAAAAACTCCTCTCAAGGTGAGACCCTCACTTTATTTCAAGAAGTAAAATAAGCTGTGTTAATGCTTTCTTAGTCATCTTTCAAACAAAATCCCTTTCCTCAAACTACAATGATGTTTAAAATTACTTACACTTTACAGCATTAAGTCTCTCCTTTCCCCTCTCCCCTTTATGTTTCAACCCCAAGAACTCTTCCTTCAAGGTATAATCTACAGATCTGTAGTGTCACAGTCATTGTTCCCATGGCAATAAATATAATGTTCATGGCAGTAATTTAAGACCTCACCAAAGGATAAAGCAAAAGGAAAAACAGGACCTTTTTTGTTTTCTTTATCCAGCCTTATCTCAGGACAGATATCCACAATAAAGAAATTAGAGCTCTTGCTTTTTGTGTTTCCATGTCAATTTTTTTTCACTTTTTTACAACTTCTATACACAAAGGTGTGTTGGGGGAGTTACAATGCATCATGCTGAGACAAATGAACCACTGAGAAGGTCCAGCTACCGAGCAACACAAGAGTTACTTGCTGCTGAACAATAAAGATCACCCATAAATTTAGACTCCAGATTTCATTGATTTCTCCTCTTCAAGTTAAGTCATCATCAGCTACAAAGGAATAGTCTGTATGAATCCATACAAATGGCAGAAGACTTATTTACTTAAACTACAGTGTGGTAGGTTTGGCATCTCTTCTCTCTGTGTAGAGGGCATGCTGTAGATGGTGTACTCTTGCACTTGGGTTATTCCAACTGCTGTCCCGTAATCTGGACAGCTTCACACACTAACCTATAGCAGATTTCCAGGGCTGTCAAAGTTTTGAAACAGTAACCAAAGAAGAAAGAGTTTGAGTGTTGGTCCTATTCACATTAGACCTGCTTGGGGAATTCTTCCATGTATAAATGCTGCCTAAACGGCCTCTCCCAGTCCCCACACCTACACTTAAAGTAGATTTGCACTCCAGAACTGCCTGCTACTCTCTCCAAATAGAGACCAGTCAGGTGGCTGGGCTGAAGATTTGTGCAGCCTACAAATCTGAAGTAGACGTAGATCTTATTCCTTAGCCCTGTACAGTCAACATAAGGCCCACCCATTGCAGAAGGAACGTGGGTAGTCTCAAAAATATTACAAATCCTTTATCAACAATTGAACTGAAACTGTTGCCAGGATAGACTATTTTTCATACTGACAAAGACTGCTGGAGTTAAATAAGAAGCCCTATGAATAAACATACAGCAGCTAAAAAAGGAACAGTACCTGCAACAGCCTGAGCTTTTTTCCATCCAGCAGCTGTTGTGCCCACGAGTGGAGTAATTTCATCAGCTGATGAGCTACACACTTCTTATCGTTTATATCATGAGTAAATGTGCAGAATAGGAACATGTTTTTTTTTTCATATAAGGTTTTTTTACTACTGAAAAAAATTAGCCTGTGAATCTGCTGTTCACAACGCCTTCATAAAGTCAGCTGAGAGTAGCAACAAGAAACGTCAGGCTTTTCAGTAGCAGCATCCTTTTGAACATGATGCATGCTGCTGTGTGACTGTTAGTATTAAAACCAAAAAAACAAATATAACCTTTTCCTTGAATTCTAAGTTAATAAAAAGCCTTCACAGCTATTAGATACAGTAACCAAAAAAAAAAAAAAAAACACCACCTTCAAAAATTCCAGATAAAATGGAATTCAAACAATGTTGTATGAAGAGGAAAAAAGAACGAATCTTTACTTCTTTGACTCAGAAGACTTAACTGCCACAGCAAAATTCATTTTTTTTTAGACAAAGCAGTACCTAGCAGTCTTGAACTTTTGTTTATACAGCAAACAGTTCTCACACTGAAGGCATTTGTAGTGCTTTGTGTTGGTGTATAGTTCTATAACAAGCTACTGAAAAGAAATCCTATTTCAGAAGTTACACTAAAAAAAACTAACCTAAAACCCCAGTACTGATTCAGTGTTTAGTGAAGGTTTTTTGGTTTGGTTTTGTTTTTCAGAGAGACCAACACATAGATGTCAAATGTAACAAGAAAAGACTAAAAAGAACTCCAGAAACTGTACATCATTTTCAGTGAAGTTTTAAAGAAGTGAGTGGTACTGACCTGGTGACAGGCAGCACTGGCTCCATCGGTCTTGCCTCGCACCACGGACTCTTTGGCTGCTCTGCATACAGAAGTGATGACTGACAGTGCAGTGTCAGAGGGGAGAGGTGGCCAGGAGCAGACCATAACGCACTGGGGCTTGACGTTTGCCTCACAGATACACTCTCCGAATCACCAAAATTGCTGGTAATGTTGTAATTCATCACAGCAGGACTGCAAAATGCCATTGCAGAATATTCATGTCTGTTCTCCATGTAGGAGGAGGGGATATAGACTGGACTGTGCTCTGCTGTCAGTGTGGACTGATTACAGCTGTAGGGGACTGGAGAGACGATACCAGCGGGTGAGTTTTTAATTTCTGTTTTATTGCATCCAATATCCTGAAGTGGCAGCAACTGAGAAAAGTCCTTGTGAGAAGATGCACACAGGGACATTTTGAATCAAGACTGAAGACTGTTGTTTAAATATTCATCCTAAGATGGTAAGGTATAAAAAAAAAAAAAAGAATTAAAAAGCAAGAAAGTTCTGTATTAAGTCTTCTGCAAAAAAGGAATGAGTAAAACAGAAAACATAAAAATACCCTGTTTAAACAGATCACATACCAAATGCACTTTAAACAGTCATATACAAATATGCTACCTTTAAGAATAAAAAAATCTGTCTAAAACTTCCTTAAAAATAAAGGCTAAGACACACATTGAGTTCAGACTCTCTTAAAAAATAATAACAACAGAAAAAAAAAACCACCTGAAGTCTGAAAGAAGCTTGGATTTTAACATAAGTAACTCCTTACAGCCAGGGTAAAATGGCTCTACATCAGAGACAAGTAAACCCTGTGGTCCACAACCACAGAGTGAGTGCCCTAAGAAATCAGTTGTCTTTACAAACTTGCCACCTTCTGCTCCCACTGTCGGTGTACTACTTCAGTTGATAAAGGGAACTTTATCAACACAAACATGCAACAGCAGATATTTTTGAACACCACACACACACACCCCTTCTTTACCTTTCAAAACCAGAACTCCACTGCCCATCCCTCCTCCACACAGGAGGCAGACATTTAATGGATGTGTGTAAGGAATGCAACTTCATCACTGAGAGGCCCCTGGATCCCTGAACAGAGTCATTATAATAGTAGAAGCCACAAAGTGCAGATATTTCTGCACTAAATCTGACAACACAGAACTTGAGCAATTTCATAAGGTCCAGAAGTTTTATAATTTCTTGCCATGCTCCATCTCCATCCCAACTACTCTCCATACTTCCTTCCTCCTGAATCAACTATCAAAACCGAGACCTTAATTCTCCCACAGTATTCTCTCTTTGGCAGATTTAAGTATATCCAAATTATTTAAGAGAAAGAATTTTGAAAAGAAAAAATATAAAGGCCACCAAAGCCATCCTCCTAAGCCATAACCCCTGTCCTGGAAGCATTACTTTTACAGTAGCATTTAAAAATATTTCTTTTTTATTCTTGTATATGGGTTTCATCTCCAATTCATTCCAGCTTTGAAGACAGATATGCAGAGATGGACTTGTATAGCTTGCAAGCCAAAACAATTCTGTTCCAAAATAGCAAGTTCAAGCTCCCAGAACTGATATTGTAGTGGACTTTTACAGATGGCAATAAGATCTTAACATGAAAACTCATATGATAATTAAAAAGGCACCCAAAGCTTTGCTTTTCCAGAAGTGGCCAAAAGTATTAATGCTATTCTTACCTTTTAACACTTCATGTGACCATAAAACAAGATGAGGAAGATTCAAACATAGCTTTGCTGAAGTACCTGCAACATCCCTGTCCCAAAAAATTCTCAGCCTGATGAGATTTCTAGTATGCTATCTTGGGGTATTGACACCTTTTTCTCCACTAGGGCCAGAATAGAGGGTTGAAGCATTAACAAAAAATGTAAGAAAAAGTATTTTTTAATAAAATGGATGGTTTAGGTTCCATCTTTCCTTCTCATTTTGCACTCTGTTGATGAAACTGAACATATCTGCAGAAATAACCAGGAACTCATTTAAATCATCTCGGGCACTTTAGTTCCAGCTGCTGTTTTTTCCTTTGTGGGAAACAGGAAAATGAGATATCTCAGCAGCTGTTTATATCCAGCAGTTGTTGCACTGGAACTTGGATGCAGCCAAAACACGAGAATCTGACCTCGCTCCTCACACAACCTACATGCTTCACTTTCCCCAGCCAGATGGTTCACAGTCTCCTCTAAGAGAAACCAAAACATCATTCAATTTTCACAGCAAAAGCCATTGAAAAACTCAAAGGCATTTTCACTCCCAGATTACAAGGTGAGTAGACCAAATAATTTTTAAGCAGCAAATGATGGAACTAAGAAGTCTGCGTACTGGAACTAAGCTTCTGCATAGGTAAAGCTGTGTTCTACTTGTGATCTCAGAGGCTGCATGTGTTCAAGGTGTGTGTGAAAACTCTGCAGGAGCAGTTTGAATGTCCAGCAAGAGCTTGATTGTGCTAACTGCTTCACTTTGCTTCCCTTCAAAGGGCACATGGTGCAAGGGTATCCCCAAACCTTCCCAAGAGAGGGACCTAGAAGGCATTGCACCATCTGTGTTCCAGTCAGCTAGACACATTCTGGTATGATACTTTTTGTAGCAGGCAACTGGTTGTCTAGTTTCCTTCAGGCATTTGGAAAATACATGCGTGTGTGCTGGAGAAGCAAATAGAACAGAGCTGGTACAACTTCTTTAATCACTTGAGCTTTAAGTCACATTTTTCTGGAAGGGTAATACAACAGAATGGTTATGTGGGATAACTGCTTATTTAGCAGCAGGATATAGCCACTCCAAAGGGCAACACACTATTTAGAAACATATACAGAAGTTATGAGAAGCAAGAATGAAGCTTGTTTTAGGAGGACTGCACGCAAGTATGAAAAGTCAGTACAGCCTTCCTCAAAAACAGGATGTTCTTGACTTATTTGCAAAAGAAGGAACTCTGGATTCCTGAAAAACTCTACTCATGGTCTTCAGCAGATTGCAATATAGTGAAAAAATAAAAGTGTTGGCTTAAGATAATTAACTTGGGTTGTTGAAATAGTTTAGCTATAGTAGACTGTGGATCTACATGAAATCAAGTTGTTCACATTTCCGTACACCTAAAAGAATTTAGACAGGAAGCCCAGAGCTTCACAAATAAAGTGAGGTTGCTGAAATTATCCAGTATTTCTCAGAAGGTCCTTAAAACCAGACCGTAAAGTTCTAAGGAGGGTGAAGTTAAAGGAGGATTGCAGATTCAGGCAACCAGATCCTAAGATTTAAGGCTAGAGAAAACCAACTCCACTAACACCAATACCTCAGAAGGAAGCACAACCATGTTTAAGCCAGTGATTACAGTAGGCAGTGCAACAGGATAATAAATTTGTTCCACCCTGGTATAGTGTCCTCATATCTTAACTACCATTCACTAAACAAGAAATACACTCCTACCTAAATTGAACTCCCATTCCAACATCTCCTCCTACTCTGAAGAAAGATTTAATAAGCAAGATTCAATTTTAAAGTACCTTTATTTAGATCTAATTTAGCATCATGGCACTATATCTGTACCAGACACAGAAATTTTTATACTATAGTCTTCTGGGAGACCACAAATATTTCAGTCCATCTAAATTAGTGTAGCTTAGCAAGATACCAAACAACTGAAATACTATTATTAAGTAGCCATTTTGTCCAATTCTTTAAGTCCACTTACCATTCACAAATCTAAGTCACTAGGAGCAAGTTTCACACCTGGTGTAAGAGAAAATAGTTCCATTTGCTCCAGTACACAGAGGATGACACTGTTATCCATGAGGATGTAGGAACAAAAACGTGATGTTATCAGTGTTCCTCACCAGAAAAAAAAAAAAAAAAAAAGGAGGTTTCTGGTTATTAAACAGCTCTACATATTGAACTTACTGTATCTTGAGAGTCACCATGCAAGACACAGCAGATCACACACAAGAACTGCTTTAGATGTCATAGTCAAACAGATACATGGGTAAATAATTAAGCCATCTGACCTATTTGAACAAACTCAAAAGCCAGCAATTGCACATTGCCTATACCAAGTGTCTTTTTAAAAGCCTTGTATGAAATAAATATTATTTTTTTTAGTTTTGGAAATGGGAAAAGAGAGAGCAGGCTGCCATGTTTTAGAGCCTGCCTGGAAACACAATACAATAGCTTTTCTCAGAAAAAAAGCAATCATCTGCAAAGAGCAGCAGAGTGATGGATGTTCTCAGGCACCATTCCATTAACATACACTACAACATGCTTGGAATTTTATACTCAAGTCGTGTATTTTGAGCAAAGACTTCTTTGCAATTAAGAGAATTAAGAGGACCTTTTTCTCTGCTAGGCTTAAAGTGCAATCATCCTTCGTTTCGTTTTAGTAGAGGTGATACAGCAAGCATGCCTGCCACTACCCCACCACCTAAGCCCCTCAGTCATCTTGCAAGGCATTCTATTAACATCCTGCTAAGTTAAACTTTACACAACTCACACAACAATGAACTCAATAATTGTCTCAAAAACTGATCATTACAGGAAAGTCATTCCTAGTGCATAAAATGGCACTTGTGCTTCAAGCTTTGTGAGAAATGTATTACTCATTAAACACAGCAGTGCCAGATACTGCCAACAGAAGGCATGTAAGTAAACAAGTTTATTATTACCTGAGAAGGACTAGATGCAACAAGTAGGGGACAGACAGGGAAGCAAAGTGAAAATGAAGCTATCTGTCCAGACCTCAGATGTTGTACTCATTCCTGTAAAATTAATAGCCTGTTCTCAATGAGATCAAGAACTTCTCTAAAGAAAATATTGGAGATTAAAAGCACACAGGCAAGAATACTTCAAAACACTTAAGCAAAATGAGCACTCTCTTTGGCCTATGTATTACTGAGGACACTGACAACTTATAGCTTATTGTAAACATTCACAAATATGTTTCAGGGCCCAGTGCATATGGCATACACAGGGGCACCAAGGGAACTCTGTGTGTTCCACCAGAGGAACACGAGACTACAGGAGGGTCTGACTGCAGTCTTCTGTCCCCTGAAGTGGAGTTACAAAGATAACAAAGTCAGACTTTTCAGAAAAAGAGATTACAGTCACAAGTCACTGCAGGGGAAATTGCATAAACTGCAATGGGATTCGTTAACTAGAAGGTATGCAGACAATTGGAAAAGGTTTTCAGATCTCAGTTAGAAGTAAAATTAAGATTGACTACAGTAGCTTTTAGCTTTTCAGTTTGTAGATCCTTAAAATGTTATCAGATCTCAGAATGGATTTAATCTTTCTATGATTTGCAGTTCTTACATACATTTCATAGACTTAGGGATCCAGAGACCAGAAATAGAAAGTCATTGTCCTGTTCAACAATACAAACACAAACTGAGAGACTTAAGCTCCTTTACTC